TATATATATATATATATATATATATTATTTCATTTCCATTTTGTATGTTGAAGTACTGAAATAAGTCAAATTAAATAAAACTAAAACTTAATAAAAAAAACTATATAGACATAATAAAAAACTAATAAAATGACAACATTACTACAACTGTAGCAACTAAAACTAAAATCGATAACTGATACAAATCAAACTACAGTAGTTTATCAGTAATCCTAAAAAAAGATCACTGAGCCAAACACACATGCTAAAATAACAACAACTTACTGACACATAGTAAGAAATGGTTATAAAAAACTGAAACAGAAGTGAAACAAGTAGTAGGAAACATTTCATAATTTCATATGATTATCAATGTTGAAAGCATATTCTTTCATGAATAGAAAGTTCAAAAGAACAGTATTTATTTGAAAAATGAAAAAGTCTTTACTGTAATTTCTGATCAATTTAATGTGTCCTTGCTGAATAAAAGTGTTAATTTACCGATTCTAAACTTTTGAATGCTAGTGTACTTGCTGATGTGTTTTAATTACTCACCAAAGCCATTTTTTTTTTACTGTAATTTGGCACTTTGCAAACCTCAAATTCACACCAGGGTTGGAATATAGTTGTATTTGCATAATGTGTCATGTTTTAACCATAACTAATCCGTTTTTTGTTTTTTTTCTGTCTGTAGGTGTTGGTCTGGATTTGATCATGCTGTTGCTTCTGTCTCCACTCCACTGCGCGCTGTGGTCCTCTTTTGGTCTTCATCGTCATCATCATCATCATTATCTCCTCCTCTGTAAGTGTCTGTAAGCCATTTTGAAGTCTCACAGAGGTCAAACAGGGAGAGAATGAGGGCTCAGATCTCCTCTATTCTTAAATATATATGCAGTGGACGCGCATTTATCCACATTGTGCATCGCCAATTTCCTCAAAGTGCACAGAGCTCGAAATTTGCCACGGTGCCATTTTGAGGCTTTAATGTATTTTCATAAATGCAAATATGTATTTACTAATGACCCCTTAAAATTTAATAAAACTTGTTGTTGATTTATCAGATTGTTTTATAACCCCCATATAAGTGACTTGACTAATATACATGTGTGTGATTAAAAACCTGTAATTATTTATATACAATAAATTTGATTAAAACCTGTAGGTCTAGTTATAATATATAATTACAAGTTTTTAATCAACTTATTTGTACATTGGTTCTCAATCATAAACACTGAATCACTTCTAGAAACTTTAGAAAAGACAAATCTGTTCAATTTGCTTAAGCACCAAAGAAAAGACCACTTTGAAGATGTTCTGCCACCTTGGAAAATGTGTACTTGTGTCCAAAATTTGACCTAAGCCCTCACATTGCTGTACCTGCCAAAAAAGGCAAGTGCCATGCAGGTTTACATATATCCCGAAATCCAGGTGTTTTTTAATCTAAAGATGCACGTAGGTCCATTTAGAAACTAGACTTTATCATTTAGATAGGTTTAGAGGAACTTCTGTCATGGGACGAAGAACAATCCTGAGTTTTTCAGTCATAATTGGTCAATTTCAAATCAATGTCTATTATAATCGTACAGTGCCTGTCATCTCTATTCATTTTTGTATATTTCTTTGTATTATATTTGCTTTCCCTGCACCCCCAGCCGCCTTGTATCAATAAGACTGTGCCCTTGCATGACTGTTAAAAAGCTTTCTATACAAAGAAAATGGAAGTGCCACATTGCTGGGGATTCCACTATTGGACTCTCAGGTTTTTGTTATATATCCTAACTTTTGTGGTCTCATATTTCTTATATAGAGTATTATCAGTTCAAAAATTCAAAAATCTTTATTTTGCATGTACATTTCAGTTGCACTCCTTTCAAAATCCAGGTTTCTTTCAGTGTTTGAAGAAAAAATATTAATAATCAAGATTAGCTTTTTAGATGAACTAGCTCAACCAGAACGTCAGGTTTAATTCCGTGTGGAAATTGGGAGCCTCTAGCCATGGAAATGCACCTTTTATTAATCCATTTCAATCACAAGATACTGTCTGCTGGTGAATGAATAATGTGGTGCGTCGAGACCCAGGCGAAATGAAAGTCTACCTGGAACTGTATGTGCTATAATACACACTTTTGTGCAATTAGTGAGCGAGACAGCACTTGAACGTTTGCGAAAATGGACGTCTAAGACGTTAAGTTATTGATACTGATATGCGCGCATATGTGCATGGCTTCAGCAAGTGTTTCTTTCCCACACTGGCTTCCTCTTTGGTTTACTTAACCCTACATTTCTTTTGCCTATATGTATGTATCTGGCAAGACGCCTGCTAGTGGTGGTATCAGATGTTGGATGATCAAGGAGAGAATGGGCAATTCTCTTATATAAATAATGAATAAATAAATAAAAATAAACAAAAAAAAAATTGTGAAACTCTGTAAGATAGCTTCTGCCGAATCAGTGTGCAGCCTGTCTGTTTCTGTGTGCCTTTATGCGTCACAAATAACATTTATCGTGCAGCTTTGTTTTGTTGGAGATCAGTTGTGACCTTTTTTGCGGTATACTCTTGATATTATATATATATATATACATTTATATATATATATATTTAAAAAAAGTGAAAACCAAAAAAAAAAAAAAAACTAATTTCTCTTTATGTAAATTTAAGTCCTATTTATCACAGCTTTTGTGATTTGTTTGAGGAAGTAAAGAAAAATAAATACGCCTTTGATTTCTGCCCCACCTGGTTTGTTCCTGTTGCATTTTGCCTTCAGTTCTTGAAAGTTTTGTGTAGAACTGTTTTTTATTGTAAAAATGAATGTCTAGTGATTTATTATTGTAAAAAAAAAAGGCTTTGTGTATTAACCCTCTTTTTTGTTAACAACTTTTTGTTCAAGCTTCGAAACCCCCAGGTTTTGGCCCCTCTGGGGAAACTTGTGATTACAAACATTTCAAAATTATATTACAATCTTTTGAATCTATTGAAAACAGTGGCATTATGTCTCAAGGCTTGTTTTTACTGCTCAAAAAGACAGCCAATGTTCATTGATCTCTGCATCTGCCAAGTCATGTAACCTAGAAACTGCAGAATAAAACCAATTGTATTATATTTCTGCCTCAGATTTCTGTCTCCTCCTGATATTAGTGCTAGTATTTCATGTGTCACCACCTCACTAAACAGAACAAATAAGTCTGTCTGTTCAGCTGTAAACCAAACTGAGGCGCACAGAAGGTCTAGTCAAGTTAGTCTTCTAATGTTTTTCTTTAAGACTGGCCATAATTTTTCATATTCGTTTACATAAAAATGTAGATTAGTCTTAAATTGAATCCAAAAAATAAAACGGATTATCCCTTGGCTAACTGCTAGTTGGTCATACTAGATCTTAAGACACTGTTTTAATGTAGAGGCCAAGTTTATGCAACTGGCCAGTGGTGTTGTGTTCAGTCTGGCTGTAAGGCAGCATCGACTTGGTTGGCACGGCAACAGAAGTGCTCCTCTTTGCACTCTTGATTGAGTGAATAAGAAAAGGTGCATTTCAGTGATGTAATAATTAAATGAGCATGAGCCTGATTTGGATCCTGTGAGAACCTGCCGCCCATGACAACCGGTGGCAACTTGATGAGAACTATTTAGACATTCAGTAAGAATAAACGAAGACTGCGTTAACCCACAGTTACGTGAGAAACAGCTATTAGTGCTGTGGCTGATATGGACTACAAGCACACTACAATTGAAATGTTCTCCTGTGAGAATGTGACAATCATTGTTACATAATAATTCATAATAAATGCCTATATGCTTATTTAACACCAATGCCTGATGACAGGTCTTTATGTGAACATAATTTTGCTTTTTGTTGAGGGTTTAGAAAAATCTTAAACACTTGACTACAAAAAAAGTGTTGATTAGCCAGGTATTCAACATATACACACACACACACACACACGTCTGGTTTGCTATCCTTGTGGGGACTCTCCATAGGCATAATGGGTTTTCTACTGTACAGACCGTATATTCTATTGCCCTACACCAACCCTACACCTAAACCTACCCCTTACAGGAAACTTTCTGCATTTTTAGATTTA